AAAGAAACTCAGTGTTTCTGCCGTTTTACAGTTCCAGGAAGTTTGTTCCAGATTTGTGGCTTGTAGAAGCTGAATGCCGCTTCTCCATGTTTGGTTCTGAGGATGCAGAGCAGAACCAGAAGACCTGAGAAGTCTGGAAGGTTGATACAACAGCAGAAGATCTTTAATGTATTTTGGTGCAAAGCCATTCAATGATTTATAAACTAAATCAGCAGTATTTTAAGGTCTACTCTCTGGGCTGCAGGGAGCCGGTGGAAGGACTTTAGAACTGGGTGATGTGATTCAGCTTCCTGGTTTTAGTCAGAAAGCCAGCGGCCTTGTGGATCAGCTACACCTGTCTGATTTCGTTTTTTTGACCTATGAAGACACCATTGCAGTAATCGATGCAATTAAAGGAGTTATAGAAGACTCTTGAATGAAAATATCCAAAATGTCCAGTTTGCCTCGAGCCACTTAAGACGAGCTCTTGGCAGATGAAAGCAAAATTTGATTGTTTGCCCTTTCATGGAGGGAGTAGAGGAAAACACCTTAGACATGCCATCCTGACTGTAGCACACGGTGGTGGCAGCATGATGCCCTGATGTTGGTTAGACATGCAGTGGAATGGCTTAGGTTCAAATAAAATTATCAAGTCAACTTAAAAACTGACGTTCAAAGAGGCTCTCCATCCACAGCAGTCTAAAAGTGTGATAGACATACCTCAGAAGAAGATTTGCTTAAATATGTGCTACACGTTTCAGTGACTTTTTGTTTTTTTGTTCCCAGACTTTTAAAAAATAAAAAGGTATTTGTGTCACGTAAAATCTCATTAAAGAAAACATTGAAGTTCACTGTTATGTGGCAACATGACAAAGATCAACGAGGTCTGAGAACGTGTCGGAGATCCTGTAAGTGCCGTGCTGATCCTCCAGTTTGATCGCAGCGTTGTTCCCAGTAATCCTCCCTCCTTCTCTCCCCTCTGCCCCAGTCGCCACGGCGCTCTGCCCCGCACAGCAGCAGATGAAAAGCACACATGTAATTTATCGCCAACGTTTCCTCCTCAGGAATAATTGTGGCGACCGCGGCTGGGCAAAGGAATCGATGGCTATAGATTTCTTTTTTCTTTTTTTTTTTCTTTTTTTTTTGTGGTGGGGTCTTGTAGCGTTTTGGTCGTAATGAGAGCTGGAGAGGGGAGGGGTGGACGAGTGACTGGCGCTGTTCTTTTTTTTTTTTTTTTCTCTAAGAGGCGTAAACAGCCTGAACAGATGATTGGTAACTCATTGAGTTTACAGACCTGCAAATAAAGGTGTTGTTCACTTTGGTTTCTCATTATTTTTTTCTTCAATTATTTCTACATTTATTTCAATAAATGTCTTAAAAATCAATTCTTCCATTAATATTTGGTTATGGCAAGAATAACGAAACATGGGAATTTTTTTTTTTTTTGGTTTGTTTCCCAAAATCCAACTTAGTTGTAGTTTTAACCATTTTCAAAGTTATTCTGTCTTTCTTCCTTCTGTTGGTTCCTCGATATGTCTATTAGGAAGGCACCTAAAACATAAATCTAGCCCCTCATGTTTACATCAGAGGTCCAGGCAACTACATTTAGTGTAATTTTACAAAACAAAGTTTGAAAGTTTCTTTCAAACTTATGTCTTTCTTTTATGCTAGAAGAATCAACCAGTAGTTCTTGTCATTTTTGCTGGCAGGGTTTCCTCTGTGTGCGTCTGAGAGATCCAGTTAAAAATCTGAAATTCCTCCAGTTCTACTGATGCAAAGCATCTACGTTAAGAAACAACTTCAACCAAAATCCTCATAAACACCCACAGATGAGCATTTCTTTGTGATTAACTTCTCATTGTTAATATGAGAAAGTGAGCCTAATGTTTGATCATTGCTCTATTGCACAATCATCACTGCAGTATCAATTTATGCAGTCTATTATTTGCAAAGGCATGTGCATCAAAACTCTGCTTTCCGATGAGATATATGGCCACATAGCATTACCACTGTAAAGTGATAGATTCCTACTTGTGGTTCATTATGCACAGATTCAGTTTTGTATTTTTCTTTGGAACTTAATTCGAAATTTCTTAAGAAAAATTCACGTATTCAAAATGTTTTTTTTGTTATTGTTTTTGTTTTTATAGAGCACATCTAAAATAATTGAATTAAAATTCAGCTTGGGAAGTTGAAATATCTTAGCACAATGCTACTTAACACACTATTAGCTAGCATTTGCAGCAAAGCCAAACCAGAAAATGACATTCATTTTCCTTGCTGCTGGTTGGCTGCACACCCAAGAATGGAAATATGGAGAATTATTGATATTAGACTGTTTCCATTGTGTGTATTTATGCACATTAACCTGTGTTTGGTAATTAAACTATTAAAATAAAGAAGTTTCAAGCATTTTTATAATAAATATCAAGTAATCACAGACTTGATCTATTTGTGGGTGGTGGTGAACTCTAACCCTTGTGAATACAGAGTCCACTGTACTTATAGTTATAGTTTTAATATCCATATCACGCCACAATTGAACGCATTTTATTTTCTTGCTCTGAACACATCTCAGACGGATTTTATTGTATAAGCACAGAGAAGAGGGATTCTTTTATTGATGTGGGGGGAAAAAGCACAAAATAAAAAAAAAAACCTAACATATTTCCAGGATTATTTTTCAGCTTCATGCAATTGTAATAAAAAAAGAAGAAAAAAATCTTTTAATGAATAGTTTAACTTATAGGATTGTTCTTTGTAACGACGTCCGGGTTTGGATGGTGCGGTGAAGCCACACGAACCGGCTAACAAATGTACCTTTTTAGGGTTGTTTTTAAAGTGGCACTGCATTAAAACTCCTCTCACAGTCGAGTGGCTTTAAATGGGCGGAACAGAGGAAACTTGAGGCTGCCGGGTCTCTGCGGACCCGGTGAAAGCTGCTATCTGTGCCGAAGAGGAGGCGAGCAGCGCCAAGGCCCAGCTGGAAGAGTCACCCCACATGTGTTATCAGTGTGTGGCGAGAGCCGCGCTGCACCGTCGGCAACTGGGATGAATACTTAAGTGTGAGGAGCTCAGCTGCACGTAGAAAACACACACATAGAGTACACGCGTATGCGACCTGCATGTTAAACATAAACGTGGCACCTACAGCGTCTACACACACACACACACGCGAACCAATATGTGCGCGTACAGTAGCTCACCACATGTAGCTCGTGTGTGTGTTTGCGCACATTTACATACACATCTGTGTCCAATCTGTAAATGTGTGCGCTCGTCTCCCTGAGTGAGCCTAATCACAAATGTTGCAGTCTTTGAGTGTGTTTGTGTGGTGGCAGACAGAGAGAGGTAGAAAGAGAGACCATCATGCCGTTAATGACGGAGCCAGATGCAGGGAAGAGAGGAGGAGTGTAAAAAAGCTCTCCACGCTCCCCATCTGGAAGGCATCGCCCCCAAATGAAGTTGTACAAAACCATCCCATTGATAATAAAGCTAATTTTTATGGCTCTGACAAGTATGTAATTATGTTCAGCGGTGCTTTTCAGATTTTATCACAGTCAATAAACCACACTGGCAATTTCCCGTCCCCCATTTGACATATTTACACGGATCCATCTGATTGGAGGAATTAGTTAGCTATGAGAGCTCTGATGGATATACACTAGTGATCTGTGACTTCTGCTTGGCTCATCTGTTAGCCAACTAGGCCCTCTGCTCGTCTGCTCAATCTGTCTTTCCTTTTCTCGCTTTTTGCTTCGCTCCGACTTTACACGTTTCTCCCTTTCTCACCATGCCCGTCCTCTTTGTCTTGTTGAACGCCGAGCTTCTCTCAGTGGCACTTTAGCTGCTGCTCTCGGTGACAGGAATGTCACATTGAGGCATCAAGACTCATCAGTCTAATCCAGAGCCATATGGCAAGTGCGATTGCACTCATGCCATTTGATTTTTATTTCGCGGTTGTTGATGCAGCCTCGGAGTGAAATGCATGACAGCTTGAAACGGGATCAGCGTGAGAGAAACCAGCTTTACCAATAAACTTTGCTCCATTCCAGGAAGGGATCTTTTGCATCCATCCATCGAAAGTATCATGTTTATAAGTCGTAGGCAGATAAGTCACACTAGGAGTGTTTACACACACTCAGCCCGCTAGGCTCGATTCGATTGGGGATCAGAATTGCTTCATTTTCAACTGGTGCGGTTCACTTTCACAATGCAGTGTACCAAACAATCCAAACCACCTTTACCCCCCCTCACCTGTGGTGGTGCTGTACCAGGAAGACTACAAAAACCTCATAAGAAAACAAAAGCACAACTTCCTTCTTCACAATATGCAAACAATGTAGAAGCGCCATATTTTAGTGGTTGTAGAATTTCTCTTTGTCATTGATAAAAGACAACGGGCCATTTCTCTCATTTGTCGCGATAGTTTTAGTTGTATTTACCCAGAACGCCCTGCGCTAAGTCCGCTTCCTGCTTTCGGAGCAGTCTCCAAAAGCATCCGCATATGAATCTGAACTGCGCCAAAGTTCACTTTAATCACAGTTCGCCCTACGGCGGATCAGAGTTTGCATTTTTGTCTTCATCAGTGTTTGATTGTGCATCCACACCTCCCCAAACGAACCTGACTTTCTATGCAAACTGACTAGAGTTTGATTAAAGTGGACCAAACCGAGCTGGTTTGAGCACACCCTAGAAGGGCCGTTAAGGTCAATAATAGACACGTCCCTCTCTTGTGTGATGTTTGCTTCACTTAACAATCCATCATAACCCCTTGTTGAGACGCGTCAAGGCTGTCCTGCAGGTGTTAGAAAGATGAAACCTGAAGCCTCTCCTGCCGTTTAGTATTTGTTTTTCGTGTTTATTTGAGACGGCTTCTCTCATGTAGTTGAAATTAAACATGCTGTTCTTTTACACCTTTGATCAACAAGCACTAAATTAAGCTATCAGAATTTCCTCACATCTTTCCTTGTGTGTTTCTCTACGTTGAGCCTCTTCCTTCTCCTACTCTGCTTTTACAGGAGAGAAGTCCTACCTCTGTGACCTGTGTGGCTTTGCAGGAGGCACAAGACACGCCCTCACCAAACACAGACGCCAGCACACAGGTAAACCACCACACACACACACACACACACACTCCGAGCTCGTGATGCAAACTGATCCGAGCACAAACTAACTCAGATTTTCTTAATCTCAGTTGTCGATTGACGCCTTCAAACGCAAACTGTCGCTCAGTTCAGGTGACCCGTTATCCGCGTCTCGCTCTCACACGGGCGCTTCGGTTTGACACGCTGCCGTCGTCGACGGGCATGTGTACGAGTATGGCTGACTGAATCTGAGATTTTTAATTTCAGTTATCATTTCACCATGTCATTCTGTCGCTTAGGGAAATTGCACTTTTCAGATGGGCTGTCAATAACAAGTGTTTTATTTATTTTTTTTCCCCAAGAAGGGGAGAAATTGAGATAGTTAAACAAATACCGTTTCTAACCCTCAACTGGCAGACTACCAACAATTATTAATGCTCTTATAAATATTCATTTGGTGTTTAATAATTATTTCAGCTTGCTTCTTAGATTTTGTACCTCAAGCGTCCAATTTCCGTCCAGCCCTCCTGTGCTGATGCGTGTCAGTTGATTTACCCGTGTGGTGAGCGTCAACAGATTTGACAACGTAACAACTGAGGCAACTGGGAAGCCCAACATTTTATTGCGCAAACTCCCACGGGTCGTACTGTGCCATTATTTTTGATGAATTCGTAGCTTTTACACAGCAACATTGCAGAACAGGCAAGCGGCCATCGCCATTCCTCTCAACGTGGAAATGTCACAGAGGCAGTAACAAACGGTGTGCAGTGAAGGTCATGTTAAGAATAAAAAGAAAAGAAGCAGACTTACTTGAAGATTTTGAGTAAAATACCTTCCTGTTAAAAGAAAAAGAAAAAAAAAACAGGGGGGCAAGACAAACGGACGTTTTCTGGAAAACCCCTGTAAAATAAATGGCTTTTTAATCTAAGCCATTTATTTGTACCTCCGGATCCAAGTTTAGCTTCGCTCCAATGCTGGAAAATTAACTTTCTCCACAGTCAAAAGCAAAAGGTTTTCTTTCTCTCCCTCTAACAGTCTTTTTTCCACGATTCATCTGAATTTAGTTCAGTTCCCACTGAATCTAACTCACATCTTCATCCCTGAAGAAAAAAGGATGATGCTGCCACCACCATGTTAATACATAGAGGGTGAGATCATGTCTTCTTGTCCACCCAGTAGGTGGGCGGCCATGTTTCGGTTGGTTTCCAGTTGTGGCGAACTCTTGCTTCATAACCTTAACTCTTCAAACGTCTCCACTGCTTCATCCCTGACCTGTGCGTTGTGTTTCTTGGTCTTCATGATGCTGTTGGTCCACTCAGGTTCTGTGTTTTACTAATTAGGTGACTTCTGAAAGCGGATGAGAGCTGAATATAAATGAAAGCAACATCTTTAAAATGAAACTATTTGAATTACTTTGTGTTCTGCATAACTATTCCAATAAAATGCATCAAAGTTTGTAATTCCAAGAAGAGGTTGTTTTTTTTTTCGGTTATTTATGTTATTTATGTCAGCTGCAGTGTTTTACTTGTGTGAGTGTGTGTGTGTGTCTGTGCTTGTCTTCCCATATCATCTAATGTCTGCCTCCTGTCTTCTTCTACCTCAACAGGAGAGAGACCCTTCAAGTGTAAGCTCTGCAACTTCGCCTCCACCACGCAGTCCCACCTGTCGCGCCACAAACGTGTTCACACCGGAGAGAAACCGTACCGCTGCCCCTGGTGCGACTACAGGTACCGGCTCATTGACCCACACTTGGCTGTTGGCGCCAGTGGCATCGACAATCAGGAGGTTGATAACAGGGGGCGCCAGAATGCAAAAGCGTGTGTATTTGACGGCGAGAAGAGCAGGTGGTGTTGTCGGGTATTTTAAGGGGGGAGCGTTTGGGGATAACGGTAAAAGCTTTGTGTGTTTATGGAGTTTTATGGTGTGTGTGTGTACGGTGCTTGAAAGCGGTGGAGAGCCGACAGGTCTAATCTCCGCAGCATGGCTCCATCTCATCACTCTGCCATCATCAACAAGCCCAGCCAGATCTCCACAACACGCACACACACAGCCACGTTCCCGCTCGCATCCTCACACACCGTGTCACTGTCACCGGCGGGTCCCTGTCATTAAAACACCATCACACCACATCAGTAATTACACAGGAAATTGTCGGTGAAATTGAAAAAGTTTTGGCCGGCGTTGCACATCTCTCCCTCTCCCTCGCTCTACCTGTCTGCTCCTCTCTCCCCTTCACTCGTTCCCTCTTTCTCTCGGCCCGGATCGTGGCAGGAAAGTGTGAAAGGGAATGATCTCAAACCCATCATCGGTTTTAGATGTACTCATTTGTTTTTTGTTTTTTTTCCACCTTCTGTGACAAAATCATTTCAGCGGCTCGCTACACCTGCTTTGCTGAAATGAAGCACCGGACTCAGACTTTATCTGTGTTTTCGAGGCGACTACATACAAAAGACAGATAGAAGGGGGGGAAGAAATGCTGACAAGCTATAATTGTTCCCAAATTATTGCTTTCCGTTTTAAAAAAAAGAAACCTCTGGGTCACCCTTTTTTATTATTATTTTTACAAGCTAATAATTTGTATAGTTTATATTCAACTTGGTCGATACTAACGTATCTCCAGTGTCAGAGCTCTTAAATGTCCCTTTTACATCTATTGAACCAATGTTTTGAATGGTTGGAGGGGTTTTTTTACATCCAGATTTCTCTGCTTCCTTTATATTCATTAGTTTATTTTGAGTTTTTAATGACCGATAATAAGCTCTAGTATTTTTAACAGATATTTGCTGGGACAACTATTTTTTGTTCCTTTTACAAGGAACAAAATTAGTCAGGATGATGCTGAACAGTAAGCTGTAGATTGTTGCGTAGCATTCAGTTTATGAGCTTAAAAACGAACATTTCTTGTTACATACAAAAAAAAAGATAATCTGTTATCTCATTGTCTTTTTTCAAACCCAGCCGGTTGAAGTGTCTCACTCACTTTGCAGCAATCTCTCCACCTGGACGAGAATGTGGCAGCTGTGTGCAGTCGATTTCATTCGGCCGTTAGCTTTGCAGCAGATCCTCATGTATTATAACCTATTGTGGTGTTAGCATAGCATCATTAGCTGCATCTTGAAATTGCTGCTCTTTCTTAATAAAACCTATCAAGACTTTATTGTTGTAGCAGTAGTGTATGTAAACTCCTAGAAACTGTCTTGTGTTAATAGTTATGTTTTAAATTTATTTTGGAAATAGTTTCCAAAAAAAAAAAAAGTTGAGTATTTGCTCTGTAGACCATCACTCATAATTTTTTTTTTTTTTTACGTTGAATGATGGTCAGTATTTTGTAAATTTGTTCAAGCTGAACATACTGAAAATAATTCTAAGCTAGATCATTTGTAAAAAACTTGTGCTACTTTATGAGGATCACTGATCCACACACTCCTTTGTGTGAAATTTGAGGATCGTCTCAAACCACTAGGCTGAACTCGACTCTTAGAAAGATACTTTCCCGCAGAACGAGCCAAATGTTCTTGGCCCTATTGTTCCCTGGCTGATACATAATGATCGTTACTGATAGCAGCAAATTAAACACTAAATTAGAAGCCAAATTAACATTTTGGTAGCCCCAAGGGTTCCGGGGATCCAGAGGGGGAGGAGGTAGATAGACGGTGGAAACACCCTGCTGGCTTGCGAATACGAAGACAGGAAGTGAATGCGAACGGCCGAACCTGCGCCTTGCTTTTACACCCTCACCTGGTTGTAATACGGAGCCGCTGGATGAGTTTGACGTCTGAGTGAATTTCGGGCTTGTGAAATAAAAGTAGAGAAATAGTTCAGCCTTCTGTGACTGACAGCCGCTGCTCGCTGGGAGCAAAATCCGCTCCGGGGACGTGATTCGCACAGCTATAGTATTCCATGTTAAATGTTCCGGGTGTCGTCCACGGTTCTCACTTGATACGACGCTATCCCCATCAAAGCTGCTTCTGAAACGCATGTAAATGAGCGGGGAGTAAATGATCTATCAAATGCCAATCATCCACCATTCAGACAGACACAGATAATGGAGGGGGGATAATTATAGTTGGGAAATAGTGGTGAAAATATTCTAATGATATTGCGCTGGGAGTCCGGGGCTGTCAATTAATGATGTCTGTCTCACTTTTCCGCAGCTATTTATGCAAGCTGCTAAACTGCTTTACTTCCACTGTTTAAGAAATGATTGCTATTGTTCACAATGAGAAGTTTTTTTCCCCCCTCCCCGCCTCTCGTTAAAGTCATAGTGGCATCTTAAATGGTCTAATTAATCCGTAGCCTCTGACTTCTCGCGCGCCTGGGCCTACTATTACTTATTGGATGCTTAACTGTTTTTGTTTTAATCCGGCTGATGGCGAGTTTGACGATGAAACGCGTGCCGTCAGAGGCGGTCGAGGCCCGCAACCTCGTAAACTGATGGAAACGATCAACGGAGGAGTGGGAGCCGTTAACCGTTCAGCACAATATTGCACAAATGATTCATGTTACAACCCCCTCCAAAAAAAAAAAAAAAAAAACTCCAAACGCACACAAGGAACACATTTAAATCTTTCCTAACAAAGCGCCTCTTCAATTACACCTCTCCCATTAGCATACAGTCTTGGGGAGGAGGAATGTGGAAGTGGCTCAGATGAAGCAGGGAGCCGCAAAGTGGCGGCGATGAGGTGACGTGCGCGTCGGCCATCAGTATGGCTGACTCCCGCGGCGGGCGCATAGGTTGGGGGAGGTTGTCGAAACGGCGTTGGACTAATTAATCCGGCGTATAGTAGGAGGGTTAGTGTGGGCTTTCACTAACTGTGACACCTGCTGACTCCTAAACGCACATTGTGTTGTTTTAATATGACAATTACGCCATTACCATATCTGAGAGATGGCATGGCCCCCATAGGAATCCACCCGCGCTCTCTTTAGAGCCTTTTAGCTCTGCTTCAAATTTTATCTATTTATGCCGCAGTCCTAGAATACCAGATCAGCTCGCTTTTCAGCATTAAATGCTTTCTTTTTAGCAGCTTCGTTTGTGTTAATTTGAGTGCATGTGACAGTTTAAAATTCATTTTTTTGTGTTTTTTTGTTGTTTTTTTTCCTCCATCAGGCTGAAGGGGATTCAACAGATGGCTGCACGTTGCCTGTGAAGCAGCTTTGCTTTGTTAGTCACAGCAGATAAAACAGTAATCACAGAGAAAATATAGTTATTTGTTCGGATAAACTAATATTATTTAATATTGAGGTCTATAAAGTAAATGAATCACACTGTGTATAAGTCCTTCACAAAAGTGCTTTTTTTTTTCAATTTGTCACCTTATAATGACAAACTTCTATCAGTCATTATTACAGTTAATTCTGATTATTATATAGATATGAAGTAGGAGGAAGAAAATAACATGGTTTTTACATTTTTATATGTATTTAGCCGCCTGTGGGCCAACTTTTGCTGAAAATACATCTGAAAACATTTTGGGGTATTCATCCATCCGTCCATCTGTCCGTCCTTCTGTCCATCTGTCCGTCCGTATGAGTCCAAAATATCAAAATATACAGACATTAACAGGTTTTCTTCCAGGTTTCCCTTTCATTTTGCCCAATCCATGTTCCCATCAACTCATGATGTTCATAATTCCCAGAGCATGATACTGTTGTTACCATGCAGGTGCTTGACCACGTCGCTTTCTTCCACGTTTGCCCCATGACTCGTGGTAAACTCCTATCAGGTCATCTTACAGCTTTCTTCCAATAACGGCTTTCTTCTTTTTGCCACTCACCCCTAAATGCCAGATTTGTTGAGTAAAACCAGTAAAGGAGGCCAAAATGCACTTGCACTGCATACAGACATTTGTTGAACTGTTTATTTGTTTTTAACTCTGCAGAATCATTGACCTAGTAAACATTGTGCAACACTACCTGCATACAGGTAGGGAAGGTCTGGGTACTCGATGTCAGGGTGATTGCTCTTCTGGGAACCTGAGGAACATATTTTTAACTCTAATTTTTAAAATCATCATAAATACATATATGGGTGTGTGTTGGTAATTTTCAAGACTCATAAAGGTATTATTTTGGTTGAGGCAACAATAGAACATCTATTCTCTACTTGTGCACCACCCAGTGAGAGCTGGCTCCGTTTTTTTATTTTTTATTTTTTTTATTTGGATTGCAGTGAAGTCAGGCCGGACCACAGACCTGTGATGGAGAGAGGCGTCTCTGCAAAAGTGAAAACAAATTCCCTCATTGGCTGGCGTGAGCTATGGCACAGTGGGGCTTTATTGTCCCGGCCAAGGTGATAAGGGAGAATAATTGCGTATTATACTGTCCGAGAATGTCAGGTCCAAACTGAGCACGAGTGCCCCATCCATCAACGCACGGCGGTGTGTGAAGGAGTATTCCACCCCGCACATGCGTACTTGTATGATGTATTGCGGGTGAGCACATGTCTGCGTGCGAGTTCATTCATTCATGTCTATATATGAAGACCACTGCTGTCATTTGAGTCTTTATTCTTATTTTTTTTTAGCTCACACTTTTTATTTTGCTGGTATTCAGTCTAAATATGTACGCGCCAGTCTGACTGTACCTTTAACATGAGCCTGTTTGTTTATGTGTGTATGGGGGCAGGTTTAGATACAGTCTGGGAGCAGATCAGGCAGCATCATTAATCAGCAGCGGGTTGCGTCTGACTCTCCGAGCTGACATTGTTACATCCTATCCCCCTGCAGTAGCTCACTTCTTGGCCTGGACTGTTTGACCAGCACAAACACACACTTACACACACGCTCACAACACATACACCACAACAACATCATCCTTTACCTTTCTTACAGCTGCTGAAGATGCGTAACTGCATAAAGGATGTCCTCAGACACCTCTGTTTAATGCATTCAGTGGGCCTGGATCCTCCAGCGGTCCTAACAGACTGCTCCCAGCTTGCTCGGATGAAAGAAAAAAAGTGTGATAAAAGGAACACAAGATAGCTTTATTGTGTCAAAATTGGATAAATTTAATGCTCGGAGACCTCGTCCAATCTGTGTCTGGGGTTCTTGTCTCGTATGCGTCCACATAACAATAAAATGTTGGACTCGATAGCAAATATTTCACTTGTATTCTCCCTCTTGAAACATCCTTTGAGCTCTCGCTGTTTTTTTTTTTTTTCTTTACTCTGGAAGATAAGAGTTTCATTGTTTGTTTTTCTCGGTTTGCCTCCCCAGATCCAACTGTGCCGAAAACATCCGGAAGCACATTCTCCATACGGGGAAACACGAGGGAGTGAAGATGTACAACTGCCCCAAGTGTACCTTCGCCACCAACTCCCCCATGGAGTTCCGTAACCACCTGAAGGACAATCACCTCGACATCGAGAACCCAGACCTCGCCTACCTTCATGCAGGTAAGATTGCACAAATACCCACCTGGTCACAGATTCTTCTAAGTTCTGGAAACAGATTGAACAATACACGATAGAAGATGGCATGTGATCTTTACTAACTGTCCAATGAAGCCTTTGCCTTTAGCTCAGACTTAACAGAGCATACCTGAATTATTCAGATTTCTATCAATGCAACAGATTCTTTAATTTCTTCTAAAAGTCAGATGAGTGTCACTCTTTCTCTAAGTTCCTCACTACTTCGATGACTTTGTCTTGGTTACTGAGCAACTCGTCTGGATTGGCCAAAGGCTAAAGGGACATTTCACCAATTTTACAGCTGATCTGTTCTGTAGTCAGAGGAGCGACTGCTCCGCCTGTGAGCACATTTCTTTACTATCTCCAAGGGGACCTTTGTATTCTTAGATATCAACCAAGGTTGTGTCACACTGATGCTATCGGGGTTTTGGGGTTTTCAAAAATTTTCTAAAAAAAAAAAAAAAAAAATCAAAGCATACACTGCATAACCGTACAAATCTGGAAATATCTAAAGAAATATGACGGTGTTACTGATAATCATCAAGTTATTTTCTCATTTTGCCAACTTTGTTGTGGAAGCAGACTGCAGTGATAAAATATCTACATATAACTCATTTGGGGGATCATTTATAGTGGTGGGTTGCCTCTCAAATGTAACCTCTTCAATGACACTGAAGATTTTTGCTTCAAGGTTTTTTGAAGTGTGTGGCATACCACAGGGATCATTCCTACACCCCCTTATGCTTTTTAAATACATGTCTTCTATGAATCAGATTGTTTCAGAGCATCCATCCATTCATCTTCAGTTCATTATAATTACTCAGGAATCTAGAACTACGGTTCAGTTTGCAGACTTTTCTGAAGAACGTGACTCCAGAATATTTGCAGATGTTTTCATAGAGCTGGTGTAAAATATTTAAGATAAAATACAGTTTGCGAAGCTGAAATATCCAGTTACAGTGTCACTTGGCACACTGTTGGCGGCAGATGAGCCCTTACCAAAAATGCATAGGATACATTTTAAGTTGAAGGTCACAGTTTGTTATAATATAATAATAGTAACTTCTTTTTTCTCCATTTTAATGCTACTCCCACTCTTCCTTCATAATGGTGCTATACAAATATTTGACTGACTTTGTTGTTTTTTCTTCTTTTTATGTCTTCTACCCCACATCTCATGTTAGTTGGGAACATTTATTCTACTTCCAAAGCCTTATTTCTTTTGTTCTTTTGAGGTTTTCAACCTTGATCTTGCATTACTCCTCTGAAGTGTGCTAGTCGACATTCTTAGAGTGCATTTTTGTCAGTGGACCAAGTCTTGTCATTAAGCTCTGACGGAGGTGCGCCCAGCCACAAAGAAGCGGAGCTCAGAGATTGCTGGTGTGGCCATCCCTGCCAATCACTCAGGCCGCAGAGACAGATGAAATCTCGTCCTTCCTCGATTGGGTTCCTTTGTGTTCCAGTGTTCCTCTTTGTCCTTGAGGACCTCCAAATCCAATCGCCAGAGTGGCTGTCCTTCAGAGGTGCAGTGAGGACAGCCTTTATCCTGTTATCCCTCTGACCTTACACAAAGGCATTGGAACCAGAGGGGGGCATCGTGGAAAAGAGGCCAGGCAGGGAAAACTACTGCTTTCTGTTGATACGTATATTCCTTGAATTGATAAGGGTTGCGTCCTTGTTCGGACCCTGAAGTTTGTTGTTCTAGATTAGTGACCCGTTCTTTTGCTTCATATATTTTTGTCACATTTAGAGATCTTTCTTAACCTTCTTTACTTCCACCTCCTAACCTTCCCGTTCAACCTTTTTACCTTAGTACTTCCATATTCTCTGTATCCTTTCACCTTTAACCAAAGCACACGTTTAGGTTTAGATTTTATTTCTCACCGTTGTTTTGTCCAGCTTCCTATGTTTTTGTTTGTCTTGACCTTTGGTTAAAGCAGATTCTGAATCTATTGTACTTTATGCCTCCCAAGTTTAACCTGTGAACTATAAAAAAAGAACAAGATATACAGACGGAAACCTCTTCTTTGGCTTCCTTGATGAAGATGTGCGAGGCTAAAATTACATTTACCTTTTGTTTTAGTATGGTAATCTAATGTTGAAAATTATAACCTTTATTGTGGTAAATCCATCAATCTGTCCATTGTCTATATCCGCTGGAGTTGGTGTCTGACTCCATTGGTCACTGGTCAAGAGGTTGGGCATAGTCTGGACAGATTGCCACTCAAACACAGGGCAACACAGAGACGGACAGGACAAACGATCTTTGACACATACATGTACGTCAGAACAATTTGGAGCAACCAATTAACCTAACATGGTTTGGGACTTCGGAAGGAATCTGGCGTACCCAACATCCATGCATGCACAAGAAGAACATGCAAACTCCATGCAGAAAGACCCCAGGCCGGCATTAACATGTTAAAAGAAAAACTGTTTTCACAGAATTCCTGGTCAGACGATTATTTGTACCTCCTACTGTAAATACTTTCTATAACCCACTTGCTGAAAGCAAAGGACTTAAGGAAAGTGCTGATTGGGAGCTCCCAAGTGCATCTCATCAACACATTATTTGCATTGGGTTGATGTGTGCTGATACACATGATACTGGATATCCAATCTATCTATTGGATAGATTTACCAGAACTTGAAGAGAGCAGGTTGGAACAGGACCATACCTAGCCCATGGGGTTTGTTTGGTGTAAAGTATTTGCGACAATTTTTAAGCGTGATGTGATTCATGCGTGTTGCCCCTCAGTTTTCTCTTCTACTGCTTCAACAAGGTTGGATCATAGAGAGAGGCTGATCTTTGAGAATCCATCCTTCCACAATCTCAATAGATCCTTCAGAGCATTTAATCCTCGCTTAAGCATCCCGCACACCCAGGCGTACTTCGCTCTACTGAGACTCCTACGTACCAATGTAGACTCAAAGCAGATTTCTGTGCAACGGTCAGTTTCTACAGCCGTGTATACGTACGCAGCGTCTGAACTAATGAGGTTGGAGTGTCTAGGCAGGGAGTATTGGAACATTAAAGCTCCAGTAGAGTTTAGCAAGGCCAGGAGAGACTGCTAACCACGTTATCAAAAATCCCTAGACTGCATTCTCCCCTATAGTTGTGTAAAAAGAAGATTGGGACATTTTATTTTCGTACCTCTGCTCAGTATCTGGCAAGATGAACCCAGGTTTGTCTATGCTAATGTAGAGACCCGTGGATATTATATCTATATCTTAGGGGAACATAGAATCATGGAAACTATTATAATTTTGTTAGTATAAGTAAATAGTATAAATAAATTGCTAATTATTTTAAAGGACTTGTACCAACAATTGTCACTGTTGATTTGAATTATTACTTATAATGATTGTTCTCTACTTTTTTTCTCTCCAGTCCAGTACTGCATTGGGTTACATACGTTATCACAGATTTTTTTTTTTTTTTTTTTACTGTTACGTGTGAAGGTCAGATCTCATCTGCAAAACACACCATCCAAAGGAAGCACATCCTCCTCCTTCAGTCAAATTAAGCAGCGTATTTTCAAGATGTCATCTTGCCTCTAATAGATATTCAGCTCACAGCTCAGGAAGCAAAGAATGACAGCAGCTGAAATAACCTAAAATGCAGCAGCCGGCCCTTTTCAACCCAAAGAAGTAAACTTTTTCTCTGAGAAATAATTGCCTTTAATATTTTATCCTCCAGGAGTATCAGCATGTAAATAAGGACAAATTCCGTCGTTAAAACCCAAACGCAAAAAGAAGAAACAGGTGATCTGAAAGATTGAATATCCACTTGCGAAGCGCTCCTCTTTGAAAAGGAGCAGAAAGGGGAGGTGGAGGTGGCAGCGGGAAGAGGAGTTTTCATCTAAGTAGACAGAACGAGTCCAAAAGAAAGAGACAGGGGGAAAAAAGATTAAGAAGGTAGATGTTGAATTAACCTGCTTGTGATTGCTCTCTGTCAGAGTGGCACCGGGGCCAGCAGCGAGAGGCAAATCGGCTGTGATGGCCCTTCCTGCTGTTCCCCCTTTGAAAGACACAGATCAAACGCAGCCCCAGTCACGGGCCCTTGTAGCCCCTCGCGCCGGATTGATTGACACCCGAACGTCTCGGCTCGCGCTTCGCCTTTCCATATCGCTCCTTCTCGTCTCCCCTCTCTCTCTCTTTCCTTCTTTATTCAGCGTCGCACTTCGAATTAAAGCCTCTCTCAAGGATGAAAGCAGAGGTCCTTTGCAAACGAAGGAAGAGAGGGGAATTAGATCCAGCAACTGATGGAGGGGAATGGTGATTAGGGCATCAGAGGGAAGGAAGAGGGAGAAACAAAAGGAGGTTAGATACGTGAGGGGAAAATGTTGCTGACAAGAGTCATTTTGATAGAGCGGTAATGACGATTGTCTTTCATGTGAGGAGAGATGCCGCGCCAGAATCACGAGGCGACGGCAGCAACTCGGCAGAGCTACTGCTACACCTACAGTGTCTTTAAAAATAATTTACACCCCTTTTATTTACATAGTTTATCAGGTTGAAACTTCAAATAATACAGATTTTGTATTGGGCTTTGAGGCTTTAGACCAGGGGTCAGCAACTATTTTCCATTGAATGAGTCACTTTAAGTTTGCTACTGACAAAACCCGCCTGGAGCCGCAAAACACGATTTGCTAAATATGTACCTTGTAAAATGTTTTATTATGGAAGCCATAATAAAACATTAAATTAAACTAACAGCAAAATTAAACTAACATTTATTTCTATTTTCAAATTTTACATCAAAATGAATCCTCTATTACTATAGAAAAAAGCAACTTTGTGGAATGAGATGAGCCTTTTCTACAAATACAGAAGAAGAAATATGGTAGCTAGTTACTTTTAAAAGCCTGTTGTAGATATTAAAAGCATATTTTGCATAATAACTTATGAGTGAAACTTCTAAAACGTGCATTTTCTCCTGCTCCATAGTCAAAAGGTTGTGGTTTTGTAAGCATCATAGTGGA